TGAGCTTAACATCTGAATGTGTTGAAGTATGTCAGGTGATCGTAGCAAATCCAGGTACCATTGCTGTGCAGAAGGAGACCAAGAGACAATACAGCATAAGAAGAAAAATTAAAATTTCAAGACTTTCACGAAAGCAAATATTAATATTACTGAAAAAAAAACCTGAGAAGGGATACTGTGAAGCCATTTCAACACTCTTGATTCAGCTTTTATATGTAGTCTAGAGCACACAATTTTGGTTTATCTAAATTACAAATAACATATATACATAACATATGAACATATTCTGAGCCTTTTGGCTTTTTTATTCTAGAAAAATCCTGTATTTGTTTTGCAGCACTCTCAAATGTTTGGTTGGTTAAAAAAATTAATCTACAGTGTTCTTAAAAGAAATCAGACACAAAAGGTTGGACTTAAATCTTCATGTTTTTCTGTGGTTCTATGGTATAGTTGCATTTTAGTAACATTGAGAATTATTTTTATTAAAACAGGAACAAACTACATAAGTAATTACATGTTTCAGTATATAAAGTTCTAGATTTAAAAATATAAGTTGGAATTAATTTAATCTAGAATTTAGTGCAGAAACTGCCAGATCATATACTTTATTGAATGACCAAGTGTCAGATCTTTAAGAAGACAAATGACAATTGGAATCTGCCTAATTCTCAGAAGAATTGTTATATTCAAAATAGAACAGCAGCATTTCTCAAACTTAAAACAGTAATTTTCAATTTTAGCACACCAATTCTTCTCTGTACTCTTCCCTCCACTACTGGGCATTTGGTTCTGGGAGACCTTGGTGGGAATCTCCCAGACACTTCTGCTTGTCATTTATGCAAACATTAAGGTTCTCACTGAGTTGAAAGATTATTTGTTAAAAAGCATCTGCATTGCTGCAGGAGTTTGGTCTTTTCATTTCACTTTGAGGGTGCTATGAACTCACAGACCTGGAGATGTGTATTGTCAGCATGAATCCTTTCCATCTAATGTTCTGTGAATTTACAGCTGCAGTGTAAAGAATAGTCAAGATTTAATTGCTGTTTTGCAGGGAGCTAGAATGCCTTTTAAATCACACATCATGATTTTTTTTAAAACATTCCTTTTAAATGCACCTCTCTGCCTGCTGTTCCTTGTTGCAACACTGCTGTTCCAGATGTACATCCTCCTGTGGTGAGCACTTCTGTTCTTAGAAGGCTTGTGCTTTCCCTTTGTGGGTTTCATACAGCAATTCAAAATTTGCAAAAAATCAGAAATTCCTCAAAAGTTTGTGTCTGGCAAATCTCATTAGCCAAACTAAATTTCCAGACCAAAATAAAAAGTGAATTCCATCTCAGGAGGCAGAGGTGACTCACTTGGTGGTAGAGTGGCCAAGTTTCTGTGCAGGAAGCTGCAGTGCACCCAGCTACCTGTCCTTACCCTGTTTTGCCTGCTGCTCCTGCCTCCTGCAGCCACCAGCTGGCATGTCCTTAGGTCAGTGAATATGTAGTTTCATGATTCCAGGGAGGGGCCTTTCTGTGAGGAAAGATGCTTGAACATCACTCTCTAATTAAATTACTACTCATTTTTCCTTCTTAATTTTAAAAAAAGAAATAACCTTTCTCTTGTAGTTTCTCTCTGTTTAAATACAGAATGCAGTGGTGAACCTAGCTCTCATTCATATTTGCTTATTTCCATCACCTGACTGACCCAGAACAGTCACTTGCCAAGGAGAAAGGCATCAATTAAGGAGATAAACATGCATTAGGTTTTCTTTTAAAAAAAAATCAAATCTTTTCTGTAACTAAAGGGAAAGGTGGTATAAAGAAGCACAGTGCAGACTTCTGAGGTAATGCCAGGATCTCAGTGATGTAAACAGAGCCACAGTAGACATGCTGAAATCATTGCTGACTTTTACACAAACTTTTAAGCTGAAGTAGTATCTTGATGCTGGCTAAATGCCAGTACCCACCAAAGCCACTCAGTCACTCTCCTGCAGCTGGACAGAGGAGAGAAAATGTTTTAACAAACAGTTCATGAGTTAAGAACCAGGAGAGAGATTGCTCATCAAATACCATTGAGGGCAAAACAGGCTCAACTTAGAGACATAAACTGAATTTATTTCTAACAAAATCAGAGCAGGATAATGAGAAGTGAAATAAGCCCTTATAAACACCTTCCTCCCTTCTCAGCTCTACCCCCTACCCCAGCAGTGCAAGGGGACAGGGAATGGGGGTTGTGGTCAGTTCATGATCCATGGCTTCTCCTGCTGCTCACGGAGAGGAGTCATTCCCCTGCTGCACCGTGGGGTGGCACAGGAGACAGTTCTCTGTGAACCTCTCCAATGTGAGCTCATCTCACGAGCAGCAGCTCCCTGTGACTGCTGCAGTGTGAGTCCATCCCATGGGAACAGCCCTCCCCAGGCTGCTGCAGTGAGAGTCCATCCCATGGGGAACAGCCCTCCCCAGGCTGCTGCAGTGAGAGTCCATCCCAAGGGGAACAGCCCTCCCTGTGACTGCTGCAGTGTGAGTCCATCCCATGGGGAACAGCCCTCCCCAGGCTGCTGCAGTGTGAGTCCATCCCATGGGGAACAGCCCTCCCCAGGCTGCTGCAGTGTGAGTCCATCCCATGGGGAGCAGCCCTCCCCAGGCTGCTGCAGTGTGAGTCCATCCCAAGAGGAACAGCCCTCCCCAGGCTGCTGCAGTGTGAGTCCATCCCATGGGGAACAGCCCTCCCCAGGCTGCTGCAGTGTGAGTCCATCCCAAGGGGAACAGCCCTCCCCAGGCTGCTGCAGTGTGAGTCCATCCCATGGGGAGCAGCCCTCCCCAAGCTGCTGCAGTGTGGGTCACTCCTCCACGGGGTGCAGTCCTTCAAGGAAAGGCTGCTCCAGCCTGGGAGCGGGGCCCCTCTCCAGGAGTCTCCCACAGGATCACAGCCTCCTCCCAGGCATCCACGTGCTCGGGCCTGGGGCTCCCGCAGGGGCTGTGGTGGATCCCTGCATCCCCGTGGCCTCCATGGGCTGCAGGGGCACAGCTGCTGCCCCCTGCCTGCCCCACGGCCTGAGGGGAATCTCGGCCCCGGCGCCTGGAGCAGCTCCTGCCCCTCCTGCGCTGCCCTCGGTGTCTGCAGGGCTGCTCCTCTCACGGTCTCGCTCTGCTCTTCTCTGGCCGTAGTTACAAATGTGCAACCACTCCTTGTTTATTTTCCTCCTTAAATCTGTTAGCACAGAGGTGTTACCACCATTTCTCATCGGCCTGGCCTTGCCCAGCAGCACATCCATCTTTGGAGCCATCAGGAATTGGCTCCGCTGGACATGTTGGAAGCTTCTGGCAGCTTCTCATGGAAGCCACCCTTGTAGCCCCCCCCAGCCCCAACTACCAAAACCCAGGCCATACAAAACCAATACCCTGGTTTTGTACATTTTAAGTATTTGTGCAGGATATACTGTGCTTCTGTAAATGCTTCTATAAAAGCAGATCCAACTCAAAAGCTAAAATAATTGTTGAAACCAGCATATAGCATATTAAAGTGCTTGTATCAGTCTTCAATCGAGTAGTGTGGTATCCTGATGGGTCTGTAGTCACTATACAAAATCTGTCTCTCTCTGAAATGTTCTGGGCATGAAACAGAACTCCAAACCTTAGCCTGAGACCTGCTTTATAGCGAGAATGGCTACAGCCTCAGGTTGATGTGTGTGATTCACAGTGATGAAAGGAGTAAATTTACACTTTACTCTGGTGCTCTCCTGTATTTCAGAGATGGCTGTGGAAGGTGGTCCTGCAGTAGCTCATCTCCATGAGGTACCTCTGTGCCAGCTGTTGATCACCTACTTCCCAGTCAGCAGAGCAGAGGAAATGGAGGGTGAATTGGGCAGTACCACTCAGAGGGGATTTGAGCTCCACCAATTGAGCCAACACAGTGTAGGCAGGGTCAAAACAATTCAGAGATTACTATGGGATGTAAAGTTCAGTGAATGGCTTCATACCTGCAGTGTGACTGTAAAAGACATATACACCACATAAATTGTGGAGGCTGCCCCTATCAACCATACAACCCTATATCCCTTTCTAACAATGTACACATTTATGAAGCTTCTTTCATGGGAAGAAGCCTTGTCTGATTTCTAAACTCAAGTGAGTCATTGAGAATATCTAATGATACTACTGTGTGTCATATAACTCATGTTTTAAGAACACCCCTTGAGAGGAGAACCCTTTCTGTTCTTTCATCAGGCTGACTTTGATGGTGCTGCAGAAGATGTAAAAAAATTAAAAACAAGACCAACTGATGAAGAACTGAAGGAACTATATGGATTCTACAAACAGGCTACTGTTGGAGATATTAATATTGGTATTACTATATATACTTCATATTTACTCACATATCTTGATAAAATCAATCTAATGTGATGTAAATCTGCATGATAACCAAAGCTATGCATTTATTTTGACAGAATGTCCAGGAATGCTAGATTTGAAAGGCAAAGCCAAATGGGAGGCATGGAACCTGAAAAAAGGTGTTACACCAATTAAATTTACATCCTGTAGTCAAGTTTATAGGATGACAAATGAGAAAGATAATGACTCCTACTTTCCTTTGCAGGTTTATCAAAGGAGGATGCCATGAATGCCTATATCTCTAAAGCAAGAGCAATGGTAGAAAAATATGGGATCTAGAATATTCAAAATAATTCCCACTAATACTTAACTCTTCAGTAGCTAATGAACTAACTCTGTTGAGAAAAATGCAATACTAACTCCTCAGTGAGGTCTGACACTAATATCTTCTAAGCATAAGCTGTTTGACTGTAAAGGGTATTTACATATATAATCTATTTCTAGCTTGTATATTAATCTAAATAAATTTGAACTGAATAAATGAAGCTTTCTGTGAGAATTATGGATTTTTGTGGGTATTAAATTATATTTAGCATTTTGACAGGAGCAGACAAAAAGAAGCTCTAACAGTAAAATAACATAGACATAATTTTTTTGCAAACAGGGTTATGGAATAAAGTGAAGAGTTTGTACACATGTAAGAGAAGAAGGAAAAGATGAAACCTTTTTTAAGACCCAAAGCCAATGTTTGTTTTCAAAACATCAGGAAAACACCCCCTTATAAAGGATTACAGAGGAAGAGAACAACTTTGAGGCATAACTGCAATGTAGAGAAAGAAGTGATTTATTACAAATTGCTGTGGACTAACCTTACACATTCTGCTATTAAAATTGAGAGAAATACTCATAGACCATTTTCTATGCTTCTTGTCATGTGTTTTATCAAGAAGCTTTCATTAGAGGGTCTCAGCAGATAAAGGTGATCTCCAGGAAGCTCATAAAAGGAAGTATCTCCACTCGTTAGCTCTTGCCAACCTAAAAAAGATATTTAAAAAAGATATTTAAAGAAATGTCAACTATTGTGATCATTTTGTATAACTATTTCAAAGCTATAATTTAATAATTATTTTAAATCCCATATCAACTTTTTGGTTCATATATCGAAACTGCTCTGTTGATTTGTTTCCTTTAAGAAGGAGGTAGACTCTAGAAAACTCTAATTAATGGGTGTAATACAACAAGAAAATGTGTAAGTATAAGAGGAAAACCATTTAAGAAAAGTACCTTTTGCATCATATATTTTATCATCAGACCCACAAAAGTAGGTAATATCACAGGAGAAGGGGCTATTCATTTCTGTCTTCTCAAATCTGTGAACATAAAAGTAGTCATAAAACATTCCATAAGATACGTATATTTGGAATTTGCTTCCACATACAAAAAAGGTTTTTTGTTCTTCTCCAAAACGTAACAAATTTCAGGAGTTAGATTATACAGAACATCAGGAGAAGAAAATACTCTGGAAGTTTCTTAGCTCCTTACCCTACTTCAGTTAGATATAAAATTGTAAAGAAAGAATGACCCAATAGTTAGGCAAAAAAAAGAGCTTCAATCTGCAATAAAAATTCTCACCTACAATAAATAATGATGTTACCTACTTATATACAAGTTCTAACATTTCAGCATCTTTCAGCGTCAGATTCCTAAGACCAAAATGGGTCCCACATCCAAGAGTGTCCTTGTTTTTGCCAAGGTAAGAAGCTTAACCACTTGGCTACGTGAGCTGTCATGTAATGTCCAGTGGGGACAGCAGTTGGGACACAGGAAGCCGGTTGCTGTCTGGGTGCCCAGAACACAGGAATTCTTTGTTCTGGTTAGGCTAGAGGACCTTGGATCTGGAGGCTGAATGCAGTGTTCCTGAAGCATGATGAGCTGAGGTTGTTAACCTCAGAGAACAATAAAAGACACGAGAATATTCCCTTTTAGTAGCTGCTAACTTTAGATGGTAGGTAGAACTGTAATTCTTCCATGACAGGTTCACTAAGGTAGTAACAGCTGTGGTTGCTGCAGTAAGCAGTCTTTCATCTAGGGATTAAATACCAGAAAACAAATAGAAAAGCACTCAAAGGAAAAAAAACTATGTTTACTGCTTCTTATTCTTTTTATAACAGAAATGAGAACAAGTTACTAAGAAAGAAAAAAAGGAAACTTAAGATGATCAGACAGCAATAAAAATGTAAAATACAAATACAGAAGTAATACAAAGTTGTAAAACTTACGAACACGTCTGAAAAAGTTTGGCGTCTTCTTTGAAAGTAAGCGCCGTATCTCTCCAAAGGTCTTTATCAAGTGGAAGCTCAAAATTTCCTCCTAGAATCTCCATAATTGCAAGAAGGTCATTGTGTCCATCAGGTAGGACTATGCTTTGGACAGCAAGATATGCTGCAGACTGTCAGTACCAAACAAAGCAGATCAGATGTTGTATATAATATACTTGGAATAACTTTTTCATTAAAATTATTTTAGTAAAAAGTACAATAATTTTCCATCTCCAGAATATGATGGCTGATTTGTTTAACATTCACAGAGAACACTTCATGAAAAGGTTAGTAGACTGTGCTTACTGAAATTATAAACTATGAGTGAGCCAAGCCACTTCTGAAACTTATACAAATAAGTTTCAAATAAGAGAAATAACTGTTAATATTATTTTGTTCAAGCTTGACTCTTACTATTGAAATACAACTAGTAAAATAATCTAAGAGAAAGAAAAACCTAGCACTGGACATAAACCTGGCTAATGTAGGACTGAAGAGACCAACTGATTATGGAAATTTGTGGGAATAACAATTGCTTCCATGAATCACTAGCTCATGCTCAGGACTGAGTATGAAGAAAATTAAGCCTTAAAAAGTGAAGAACACAAATAGCAAATGCTAACTGAGGACAGGGAAAATGGACTGGAAAAATGCCACTTCACTACTGTTTTTCTGAGAAAGACTAGCAGAACCAGCAGAACCTCAGAAAAAAACTACAAACAGAAAAAATCCTACAAAGAATGAGGAGAGAGAAAAAAATTGGACAAATGTATTCAGGGCTGATGCAGCAGGTTTATGAAAGACTTGGTCAAGACAGTCACTTCACAGATTACACATTACACTTCACACATTACACTTAGAATTTTGGTTTGATTATTTTTGAGTGTTAAGCCAGTGGCCATACTAAATAACAGAATATTCAAAAAAGTTTTGTTTAAGGATTAGTTAGTTTAAGCATTAATTAGTTGCAGCATTAGTTTAAGGAGATTGTTCTCCCAAGGCTAAGGATAGCAGCAGTGAATATTATGCATTCTGCATCAACCTCAGAACACTTTTCACTTCATAGATTCTGAAGAAATGCTGATTTTTTTTAAATTAAAACTACTCTGCATACCATACTGTAAAATATTATTCTTACTCTTAGTAGCTAATTTATGGTTCTGTTTCATAATGTTAATGATTCTGTAGCTTACATTTGGGGAATGTGCTGCTGACATGAAAAGATGGACTGGCTCCAGTCCATACTTTTTTTTCAGATGAAGTGCAACGGCAAAACTCATGTAAGTTCCAAAACTGCAGCAAAACAAGAAATTAAAGCATACTAAGTAAAAATGTACATAAAACCTGGAAAATATAAACATAATTTTAATTTCAGTGCTAACTGGCTATCTTGAACAACTGCTGAAATGGTATATGAGCAAGCAGATTATAATGATATTACTTTATTGACATGAAGTATATTCCTACACAGTCTAATTTTGCAAATAAGGCCTTTTCATATTCTCTTTCTTTTAATAGTCTCCTTAATTTTCAATAAGAACAGTTATTTTGAATACTTGGGACCCAACAATCTTTAAAATCTGTGTTTCATGAATGGTTCACCCTCTGCATTCATATAGATCAAGCACTAGCACAAATATTAAGAATAAATGCAATTATAATTGATTCAAAAGACATGCTCAGATGTTGCACCTGAAGGTATAAATAAATAACCAGAGTCTTTGAGAGCAACTGCATGTTTTAGGATGACTTCGCAGAACATCCTTGCAGAAGCATATTTTTCCTAAAGGTTTTGCAAATAAAAACAAGTAACTCTCTACTCCTAGAGCTCAGCAATAGAAGCTCTTTCACCAGGGTATCTAAAAATGTATATATTTTTACCTGTGACCAAAAAATGCAAATGGTTTTTCTTTCAATTCTTTTAACAAAACACTTGTAATTTCATTAACTACACTTGTCATGTCTTTTGCAAAAGGCTCTTCAAGACGAGTTTCTCTTCCAGGAAGCCTTATACAGAACACTGCAGAAGAGGTGAAGGAAGGGAGGGAAAAGAATTATAGCTATTTCAAATACATACAGTAAAATAATTTTAATTAAGTTTTTTATTATTCTGCAGAATATACATACTATTTTAATTACTCCTTCTTAGAGTTGATCCTGTGCACTTGCTTGCTATTGCTGCTACTGTGATTTAATCCTGCAAGAGATTAGGTTTCACCCTTCCTTTAGTCTCAAATGTTGCCCCTCCTGCTGATCTGATTGCTAAATGCCTTGGGTCAGAATCCACCAGATCCTGATTTCAGCTGAGATTTGAAAGCAAATTTATTGTTATAAGTTTTACTAACAACCACAAATTCATTAATTTCAATAATAGTAAGTTTGAGGGTTGTGTAAATATATCCTTTCAAGGGCAGCATTAGTAAGTGAAACTATATTAGAGTTGTACAATCCGTTTTCTTCTTTGTCAGCTCTCAGCACTGCACATTGGAAAATGTGGAATCATAGTGCAAATTGGTGGATGCTTGTATTTATAGTTACATTTATAGTTATTTATATTTATAGAGAAGGAAATTTACATGCTTTTACTATTTTCCTTTCAAAATTGAGGATTTTCCTCTCACTGTTTAGTGAAAGTAAGGAATTAATAGATCAGAAAAAAAATGTTGATTTTTTTTCATATCTCCTTGACATCATGCATACTGCTAGTTATGTAGAAGTAATGGGTCAGACACAAAGAGACAGACTGTTCTAGAAGAGAGAGACTAAACCACAACCTAATACCATAGATACCAGTACAGAAAAGTTTGCATCTTCTATACTTTCTGCAGAAACCATCCCTGAAAGAACATGCTGTGCCCTGACTTTATTCGTCTGCGTCTGCAGTTAGTCCTAGGCCATTTCCTTAGTAACTTTCTTGGAAGTAGTTCCAGTGGAAAAAAACTTTTTCTTTCTTCTTTTTTTGTTTTTTCCCCTAATTTCAAGGAAGATTCAACATGCAAGAGCTTACCAGAAAATATACTTGCATTTAGAGGACTGGTAAAACTGCAATGGCAATGCTCATGAATATGAAATTGTTTTTTTCTTTGTGGAAGGTTTGGAAAATGGCCTTGGTTCCTCTTCAAATAGGTCAAGCAATGGATTTTTTTAGTGCTGATATATCTTGTGAGCAATAAGAATTACTTCATAGTGTAACTAAACATCATTTCACAGTTACAAAATTCACAGATTAAATTTCAGTTTTGATACAAGAAGTACAAACACTGGATAAGAGATACTCTGTAGCCTCTCAAAATTAAAAATAGTTCTCATATCTTCACTCTTAACCTTGCTGAAGACTGGCTTATCAACAATATTCAGTGTAGTTCTGTTTCTGAATCATACCAGTAGTTTCTGAAGCAGTCAAGCATATTATACTCTTGTGAATTGTAGCTCTGAGGATATAATTTTTCACCCAATCAAATATAATTTGATTCAAGGTGGTACAGAAAATGTAGCCTAGTGGAAATGCTAGTTCCTAATAAATGCTAGTTCCTTCCTTTCTGGAGAAGACACATTGGGTAAAGATTGTGGTGCTTTCAAGACTATTATATTCCATTTAAAAATTTTGGCTAATGTGTATTTCAGAATTGCTTAACTTCTACTGCAGCTACAAAATGACTAACCTTCAACTGAGTCATCGAAGAGTCTCCCCCACTGAGCAAGTTGTGAAGTTCCACTTCCAGCCCATGGAAAGCAAATCAGTCTACAAAGAGCATCTGGCTTTTTTTGTACACAAGCAACCAGCTTTTCCATCTCTTAAAAAAAACCAAAACAAAAGCAACAAAAAAACCCACCATCATTCTAGAACAAGACTCCTCAGATATAGGAAAATTAGAGTGAATTAAATCTAAATTGAAACAACAGGGTGCAATAGTCTGTCATCAAAACTGCTTGTGTTACAACAACTATCTGCTAGATATGAGATAATCTTCCTGCAACACTCTAAAACAGTTCTGCTTTTATAAATGATGGTAGAATAGTATTGGACAATACCCTTAGTTAATATTTGCTCAGTCACTGACCACAACAAACATTACAAGCAGCAAAATAAATTGTTAAGAGATTTAAGGAAGACCATTTAAAAACATAGGCTTTTAGGATATACACAAAAATAAAAGGTCCAGCTGAAGAACCTAGAAAACATAAGGACCACCTAGTTCAATGTATCACAGTGGTAAAATAGATGTCAAAGCCACAGTAGGATGTCATTTCTTTATATATATAAAACATCTATTAATTACTCTTTCATGCATTTTTCCAGTCTCCCCTTGAACAGCTGGCATCCATGACATCCTCTTGCAATGAGTTGCACAGCTCCACTATCTGATGCATGAAGAATGAATCCCTTTTTTGGTTTTAGTGGCTCAGAGAGTAACCTAAGTCAGAGCTGTAACTGAGATGCAGACTCATCACCAGCAGTGTCTGATCATGCTGCTGATGAGACAATCTGTCCCTTCCCCTTGGAGCATGATGCTCTACCCCAATCTTTTACTCAGCACTAGCACTCCTTAGCTATGTAGTAAGAGCACATCGTTTATCAAGCTGTAAACTAATCCTGTAGTTTAGTTTTCACCTACATCAGTCTCACCATCCTCCTGTTGAAAACAAAAGGAGCCTTTTATGACCTTTTTGGAAGCTTTCACACACTTCATCCAGCTGGACAGGTGCATGCTGGTATTACATATACAGCCCCAAAGTTTGGATGCAAATGACACATCTGCGCTAACCTAATGGAGTAATTTGCCTTTAAGGATTATTTTACAACTGTCTCTGAAACAACCTGCAGAGTCTGTCTTAGTGGTTTGAAAGATACCTACAGCCAATCTAATTTTCATTCACAAAAAAAGGCCACAAACAAGAAAGAACTATTACATGAATACATAATCTTCTTTGGAGTACAGCTGAATCTCAATTTATTTTAAATCGAAGCATATTTGATTAGGGAAATGTCTTTTTCCCCATTTTTTACAAGATAAGACAGCAATTTTAAAAAATGGATTATTATTTCCAAACTGTCTTTATATTTTCATCTACTTCCACCTATTGGCCTTATACCTGAGATCTAACTTTGACCCTGTTATAACAAAGAGAGGATACATAAGAATTCTTCTGCAAAATCAGGATTTTCCCAGATTGTAAGCTTTTCAAGAGAAATAAGCTTTTATTTTATGCCCTATAAATTTTGTTTGATGCGTGATCTGATGAATTAATGTCAGAAAAATCTACTTTAGAGTGTTCACAAACAAAAGAATGTTTATTTCTTGAACTACAGCAAAGAAATGGCTCAGTCAGTGAAAAAAAAGAAAATCCACTGGATTTTAAGAAAGTATAGCCTGGCTTTTTTCTCTTCACATTTAGAATAAGCTGAAAATAAAATTCTAGTTTGATAGATAGCTGTATAAAAGAGTAAAAGAGCCATCATTTAAATCACAGAACAACTTAGGCTGAAGGGGACTTCTAGAGATCACATAGTTCAAATCTTCTCTCGCTAGGTGTTGGGTATCTCCAAGGATGGAGACTCTACAATCTCCCTTGGTAACCATGTTCAATCACAGCTCATAGTGAGGATACTTTTCTATCTATGTGCTTGTTGTCCCTTGTATCCAGAAGTCTTCTCTCTTTTTGCTGAGTACAGCCAAGAAGAGCCTGGCCCTGCCCATCCTTCTATTAGGCAGGTGAAGACATCTTCATTTGGCACTCCCTTCTTGAGACAAAACCAATTATCTCAGAGTCTCCTGTACACCACCCACTCCAGTCACAATCACAGGGGACCGTGCCACGCTCACTTCAGTATTTCAATATCCTTCTAATACAACAGAATTAAAAATGGACCCAGAGGTGGTCCATTACCAAAGAAATTCTGGATTATTTTTCAAACATGTTTTTTAGACAGGCTTTCAGGGCATGACGAACTTTTTACATGAGCTTTATTTATTGTCATGGCATCACCTTATAGTAGGTGAACAAGTATTAATTGAAAAGCACAACTGAAAACAAGTGCCAACAAAACTGCTTCCACACTGACCAGCTGCTAGGACAAGTGGACCAACAGCCCCACCCTGCAGGGAACAGAAAGCCAAAGGTAAAGAAACACCAAGTGCTTGCAGCACAGGGCTGCAAGATATTTCCCCAAGGAAAATATATCCTATAGCACACAGTTTAAAAATCCATAGAAGAAGTCTTTGTGAACTGCAGGAGTGTGGTACTTGCCAGTAGGGCAGTCCAGGACCTAAGAGGCCTCTCAGGTATCCAGGAACTTGCAAACCCTACACAGCAGACCTGTGTCATTTGCACTCACATGAGTTAACCCCTTGTTTGCAGATTCTGGAAGCCAGGGAAAAAGCAACCCTTTCCCAGGTGGTAAGTAGATCCAAGATTACTCATAAAATTTAGATTTAAGGTAGTCCATTCACCCCCCAGCAATAAGCACAGAAGTGGAATATTGAGCCTGGGAGTCAAATGATCAACTTCATGGTAGGTATGGAGTCTGTTATCAAGGCTGCTGGATTGCTTACAGCTAGGCTTGTATCTGAGACACCTGGCTGGGCATTGACCACTTGGTATCTGCAATCCTGTAATAACAGAGCTGTCAGGCTGTAGGACAGTTAGGCAATGTAATCCTCTACTGATTTTATCTTCACAAGAGAAACCCAGTTTGTATAAATGATAGACACCAATGTCTCAGTGTTCTAAACATTGTAACAGGTGAAATTTTTTATTTCTGCATCTGTATCAGTACCTTACATATTACTGTATCACCACACATTTGGCTACATTCATTATTCAAATAATCCTTTTAAAAAGTTTAAAAATATGTTTTTCAGGGTAGGCATTTAAACTTTCTGGAAAATTACAGGTTTATGAAAAGAGGTGTCCAGTTAGAGAGAAAACACATCTGTTACATGCACTGTAATATTTATTACATATTTCTGAGGTTTGCAGATTTATATCCCTAAAAGTTTTCTTACTCAGCAAAAGCAGCCTTGTGATCTTCCATTTAAGAGACAGCAAAATGCATAAACCACAGGGAAAAAAAAGTGGGAGCTCAGTAGCTCCTGAGTTGAAAAAAAATACTGATGTTTGCTTCTTGAAAAATAAAGACTTCAGGAAATTCTTTGTCTTTATATCTAGATGCTATAAATTAATGGCAAAAAAAGTATGGAGCATACCCATCTTATTAATCATATTTTTCCCAATAATATGTCTCTCAAGGTTACATTTTTAGCACACTATATTTGGAATTGGTTAATTCCATTGTTACCATCTACAAGCTGCTGATGAAAAAAAAATTGCGTCATTACCAACTGAAATCATGTCCTCCAGAAAGCTGTTTACTCATCCCTTTACTTCTTGAAAAAAAATCTAGGACATTATTACAGAGAAACTTATTTTTGGAACACTTGTATCTGATAAGCTCAAAGCATCCCTAATGCAAAATTATTGAAATAAATATTAAAGTCACACAACATGCATTCCCAAAATGGACTTTACTACTTGGACCTTCCAGGACATTGAAACTGCCAAATACACAGACCATGTGGATGTTTCAAAAACAAACACAAGGAGCAGTATAATCTCCCCTTCTTTTCTACTGCTGCTGTCATCCTAGTTCTGCTATGGTAAAACCACCTAACCTTTGCTCAGATGTTTGAGGAAATAATTCAATTGAGAGGAAGAGCTCTAAAGCAGTCCATAGAGTTGAACTGTGAAAGGTAAGAGAGATAAAACTGGAGAGAAAGGCAGGCACACAGGGATAGTATAGGGCAATACAGTATGGGTAAATGAAGGTGGTGTAGAATGTAATCTTATCCCCCTAAAGAGTTGCAGCTGAGCCAATTATTAAGGATTAGGAGCAGGCCTGATTTTAACAGGCCACAGCTGTAGCCAATAAGAAGAGTGTTATAAAAGAGTGGATTGGTGGGTTAAGGGGAACTGGAGTCAGTTGGCTGCTGTGAGGAGTGCCTAGAGGAGCTGCCTACAAGAACCATCAAGGAGGTACAAAATCCTAGCAATATAGAACCTTAGCATTATAACGACAACAGGATGGCACTAGGCAAGTAGTTCAACAATCAAGAGGAAAGGCATTAATGTGGAAATATAATTACCATTTTGAGGGAAAAAATGAACTGGGAGATTGCAACCTGCTGTTTAGTATCTGTACTGATAATCTGGATGAGGGGATTGAGTACACCCCTTGGTAAATTCTCAGACAACATCAAGTAGGGTGGGAGGTTGATGTGTGTCAGGAAGGCTCTGCAGAGGCATCTGGACTGGGTGGATCAATGGTCCAAGACCAATGGCATGAGATTCAAGAAGAACAAGTGCTGAGTCTTGCTCTTGGGTCAAAACAACCCCATGCAGCACTACAGGCTTCAGGAAGAGGTCAGTATATAAAGTGGAGGGAACAAGGTGGAATGGGGGGGCATTTTAAGTGATGGGTGTTTGTCTTCCCAAGCAGTTGTTGCACGTGACAGAGCTCTACTTTCCTTGGGGTGGCTGAACTGACCATGGGAAATAACAAATTCATTCCTTGTTTTGATTTGCTTTTCTGTGCAGCTTTTGCTTTCCCAACCCACAAGATTTCTAACTTTTACTCATCTGATCCTCTCCCTGATCCCACTGGTAGGCGAGTGAGCGAGCAGTTGTTGCATGGGGCTTGGTTGCTGGCTGGAGTTAAACCACAGCAGTGGGTAATGGGAAGCCATTTTGGCAAAGACAGAGAGTACCAAAAACAAACAGAAGGTGCCACTGCT